GTAAAGGCAACTGCTTCTTGCTCACCAAAATGTACTTACTGAAAAACAACCACTACCAACTCTATTGGTCTTCATTAAATTACAAAAGCACACACATGCTTCTTACAACAATTCACAGATAGAATTATATATGAAAAAAAGGAGTTCTCCTTTGAGTGTCCTTTTCACTCCTCCACACTCAAATTCCACTTCCCAGAGGTTAAAACTATTGTGTTTAAATTTTCAGTCTTAAGATGCCTATTTATGAGTATTTTCTTTCCAAATGAAATTTTTAGGAACTTAAATTCATTTGTGTCCCACCTGAATGGCTTGCCCGGGCTCCCTAATTACGTGGCAGTCTCCGCCTTGACTCCATCTGGAACCGTTGCCACCCCAAATGCCCTCCCTTTACCTCTCCTCACTAGCAAGGAGGTTTCCCTCCTAAGGCAGATAGCTCCTCTCCTGGGCCCTCCAGATCTCCCAGATGCAGAGCTGATCTGAGCAGTCACCAATTAAAGCTACACCTCTAATAGTAGAGGAACTGAATGAAGGCCATTGCGAGCTTGACTCACGAGGGAGAGCTCAGCAGCTTTTCCATTTCAAATTAAGATCACTCCCCAGACTGGCCTCCCCAGCGGAGGACTAACCGCCACCATGACATACACAAACGCACAAAGTCTCTGCTCTCCCAGTCAACTGCTCCCGCCCTGCCAGCCTTTCAGATAACCAGGTCAGCTGAATACATGGAGACAAAGGGGCAGTTCATATACTCCTATTTTGGCAGTTGAAATAACGCTGCAAGTGCCAGGTCTTCACAGGATAAATCCCTCTGTGCATGTCAAACACACCGAGAGGCCTGCTGGGAGATGGGGGTTGCTGAATTGGGGGGCCAAGATGGACTTAGGTCATGATAAAATTTGGAAAGCATTATTTTTTATTTTATACTTTAGTAATATAAATTAATGGTTGCTATCTCTTATTAAGCAGGTACTCTACACACTTCCTTTCATTTAATCCTGTAAAACAGATGGGTAGGGTTTCCCTGGTGGCGCAGTGGTTGAGAGTCCGCCTGCCGATGCAGGGGACACGGGTTCGTGCCCCGGTCTGGGAAGATCCCACATGCCGCGGAGCAGCTAGGCCCGTGAGCCATGGCTGCTGAGCCTGCGCGTCCGGAGCCTGTGCTCCGCAACGGGAGGGGCCACAACAGTGAGAGGCCCACATACCGCAAAAAAAAACAACAAAAAAAACAGATGGGTAGCATTTCAGGCTTGCAGATGAGAAAACTGGCACTCACGTTCCATAACTCACCCAAGGCCACATGGTCAGGAAGTGGTGGGACTGGGATTTGAACGCAGGTTTGTCTGCTTCCAGAGGCCAGATCACCTCCCTTTCTCAAGGATAGGGGTTAGAAGTCTCTATGGCTTCCAGGAACCACAGAAGGTTACATTCTGGGAGCTGGAAGATAATCCAGTTTGCTCCTCCTCTCGGCCCCCTTTCAGCCCTCTCCACCTTGCTTCCTGGAATACAGCAGTAGCCTCACAGATAAGTTGCGAAGACTTCAAACACCCACCTTCGCGTTTGCTTTACGTTAGATGATGCAAATTTAAGAAAGGAAAAACTTCCTTGAAGTTGAAATGCACTGCGTGGGGAAAAAATATTTTTGAGATGGCAAGAATAAATATTTAATTAGACAGTGTGACACTCAATTTCACCTGGCTTTGCAATCAGACAAAAAACAAGCCCTTGTCTACAGGGCTAATTACAGACTACTAAATTATTTTTTATTAAAACCCTCTAGAATATTAAATATGAGGGATGAGGTAACATGGTATTGTAGAATAGCCCTAGACTGGCAATCTGGGTTCTAATCCTGACTCAGCCACTAATAACTACCAACATTAATTTGCATGGTGTGCACAGCTGACAAAATGTTTTCACATACTTTATACATTAGTTGGGTGACCTCAGGCAAGTCACTAACTCTTGGTGTCTCATACTGAAATCTGGAAATGAGAACACTGAGCCATCTGAAGTCCTCTCCACTTCTAACATCCTACGGGGGGGAGGACATGTGCCTTAGGATCTTTACAAATATGTCTGTGAACAAATCAGATGCATTTTGGTTCAGAAAAATTACATTTTCTGCTCAGCTTCTGAAAGATGTTACTTGGCTAAATTCAGGTACAGCTCATACGATGTTTGCTGCCAGCTAGTTGGCTCCGCTTCTGGAGGGTACCATATGAAGGCCTTGGGATGGATTCCCACATAGGAACTTTCCTCTCTTCAACAGCCAACTGCCATGCCTAACTGCAGTCAATCATCTTACATACACGACCCCACAGAGTAGGCTGGCTTAGGGAAAGGACTTAAGGAAATCCGTCCTCACAATGCATGCACTCTCAGGATCATCACATCCCCAGGAATATTATAAATATCATTCTTAGTTCTAAGACACGCAAATCCCTCCTTCAAATCTTGCCGCTTCCTGGCTGTTTTAATGTTCCTGAAATTAGGAGGCACCGTAGACTCAACATGTATATTTTGATCTGGTAGTGTTAAATGAGTTTACCTAAAAGCTGCTGGTAAATTGCTGGTGTGTCTTAGAATCAAGGAAATATAGTGCTACAAGACTACAACATAGATCACATAGATTTAGGTCTAATTTGGTTCAAATCATGTCCCTCTCCCTGATCTTAACAATTACACTCAGTAACAACTGGATAGGCAACGTATGAGACACAGGTATTAGTCCTGTTTCCCAACAGCAGCAGTTTAAAAGGCATTCCATCATTATCTCATAAAACACAGGTATGGATTTTAAAGGCAAATTAACCTATATAAAAACCACTGTGGTGCTCTGGAAATGTCCTATCCCACAGTAAACTGTAAAGGGGACATTTTACTCACACCCTCCTGATCTATCTAGCCTTGACACATTTTCTTGCTTCTTAATTCACAACCCTCCACCCCAGTAATATCGCTGATTCCCAAAATACACTCAACTCAGGAGGAGCAGCTCTCCAGCACAGCTGTCTGCTCCTGCCCTGCTCGGGTATTTCGGTGAGCTATGCAACACAGAGAGGACCACACAGAAGGAATGTAACTCTCAGGCCCCACAGTTCCCATCGCCCCGCAGGCAGGTGCATCCCACCAAACCCCAGACTGGCATTCGAAACAGAAGAAACTGCACTGCTGCATGGGGGCAGTAGTTTTCCTGAACTTCATCTCTATGTTTAAAACTAGGGCGACAGCCGTCTTTGCTACTGTAAACTAATCTGATGGGCATGGGGGCGGGGAGTGGCTCTGAGGAGGCTGCCAATAGGCCATGATTGAGCAAAGTCAAGGCGCAAAATCGTTATTTCTCACCGTTTGCAAGCCAGAAACTCCAAATTTGTGGGTTCTTCACCATGATTTTTGGAACTGAACCATCTATGCCTTTTGCACCCTAAAGTAAAAAAACCCAAAGCCTCTTCTACAGTTTAACTGGGTGATATTTACACACATTTTCTAACAGTACACTGAGATCTGCAAGCAAAAAAAAAAAAAAAAAAAGAATCAAAGGAAGTTGGCAATGAGGTACACACAGTAGTTAGGAGCCCTCGAGTTGAGGCACGTTTATTAAGAGACAGCTTCTGGCTGTGCGCACCAACTCTAACTTCAGCTCCTTTTCTTCCGAAAAAAGAAAACAGTTTGGGATCCTGCTCTATTCCAAGATCAGGGAATGCACGATGGGCAGGTGGATGGGTAGCAAACATAACCCAGGGAATTGTTCAAATATGCTAGAACCCCTATCAGGTGACAGTCCCCACAGAGACACAGCTGCAGGAAACAGGGGGTGCAAGCCTCAGCCCTACACCAGAGAGAAACCTCAGTTCTCCTCCTTCTTCTCCGCTCTGCACATGTTATGTTAAAACTCACTCTTGCCCAGTTGGTTACCACTTGGAATTTACAGGTATCAGAGATCACAACCCTTCAATATACAAACAGTAAGCATTTGCTACGGGTATCAGGCCTGTTTCCAAACCTCCCATTATATCCATGTATATAATGGGGGGGGGGGCGGGGGGGG